CCTTGTTTGGGAAGCTCAGAGAAAGTAATGACTATGCTAATTGCAAGACAGGAGCTAAAATAAATACTAATAGCAAAAATCAAGGTAAATTCTCCTTGATTATAAAATCTGAGACCAGTCTCTAATTGATAAAATCAGATTTAGAATGAAAGAGACCTCAGAGGCCATCTTGTCTAGTCCTTCATTTGGAAATTGATGCTCAGAGAGGTTGAGTGCCTTGTCCAGGTTCACACAGCTCGTATCAGACAAAGGATTTGAACCCAGCTCTGAATCTTGCATTCCATCTACTATATCATGCAACGGTTAAAATTGCTATAGGTCTAGCTGGTATGTCAAGTAATGTTCTCTGCTTCCCTCTGGGAGAGAGTAATGACTGATTAGTTCCTTTGGAGAGGAAAAAAGGTGCCCTTAGGCATTTTGAGGTGGGGATGACTCTAGGAAAAGTGAAAGTTTCTTATTTCCTGACAGAGTTGGCTGGTTCCTACCAAATCTCTCAACTCTTGTTCAGTTTCTTTCCTTCTTTTTTTCCCCCTTTTTTCTGTTTGCTTTAAAACTTAAACTGAAGGAGGTGGAACCCCACAAAAAGGAAATCTACCCAAGTTTGCCCACCTCCCATCAGGGAGCAAGAAACACTGGATTCTTTCCACACTTTCTGTTCCCTGCATTGAGGGTTGCCCCAGACTTGGCAAGGAAGCAGAGGTCCCTCTCTGTAGGCTGATAATTATACAAAACACATATTCTGGCTGAGGGCATGACGACGATGGAGGAGGTGACATTCCATTTCTTTTTTGCACTTGGGAGCCCAGCTGGTTCTCCCAGTTACACACCTGTGCTTAAATAAATAAATAAATAAATTTGCTGAAGAATTACCTTGAGAATGAATTAGGAAAGGAAGCAGGACTCTTCCCAAAGCAATGAGCAATGCCCCCAGTGGGCTGTGGAATGAATGATTCAGTGTGAAAGGAACTTGAAATGATCTGAGTTTCCTCAGGGTGTCTGAGGGCAAAGGTCTTTCTGTTTTTTGTGTCTAGAAAAACAGCAGGCTGAGGCTGGAATTACAACAACCTCCTTAAAGAAGTTGACTGCCCTTCTGCTATTGTTAGCATCGGTATAGCAAGGATTCCTTATTTCTGTTGTATCCTCTTTGAGCAAAATGATGACTGGGAGGAGGTGGTGAGAATGTGTGAAAGCCCCTCTCTCTACCCCTACTTTGAGGCCAAGCGAGGGAATTACTTTGCCAGATTCACAACAGTGACACTCACTGAGGAGAGACAGTGGGGTATAGTGGGAAAACACCACACTTGGGAGGCAAAAAACCTGAGCTCAAGGCCAATCCCTAATGAGTCCATACTCAGCCTAGTGACCTCATATGAAATCTTCACTTCTTATCTCACAGATGATCAAGTGATAGCATATTTTTTAAACTATAGAAATACCATAAAATATAAAATCCTATTATTTTGTGAACACCTGAAGCTCTTATGTGAGTATCCCACCAAGACTCAGTCCTGGGTCATTTTCTCTTCTCCCACCATACTGTCTTGCTTAGTGATCTCATCAGCTCCCACTGGTTCTGTTATCATCTCCACGTTGATGAATCTCAGATCTACTAATCTGTACCCTAATCTTTCTCTTGAATTTCATCCAGCCTCATATCTCCAATTTCCTATTGGACATCTCAAATAAAATGTTCCATAGACATCTTAAACTCAACAAGTCCAAAACTGAACTCATTATTTTTCTGTCCAAGCTCTTCTCATCCTAATTCCCTGTTACTGTTAATAACACAATCTTCCCACAGAATCACCACCCTTTACTCCTCATTTTCATTCTGCCTCCTGAAATCCTTTGCTAAGTTCTGTTGGTTACACCTTTGCAACATCTCTTGTATATTCCTCCTTCTCTCTTCTAATATAGCCTCAATCCTGGTACAGACCCTCATCACCTCTTACCTGGATTGTTGCAATAGCCTTGGTCTCCCTGATTGGATCTCTCTCCACTCCAGTCCATCCTCCACTTAGTTATCAAAGTGATCTTTTTAGAGTGCTTGATCATGTCACCTTCTCACCCCATTCAGTAAACTTCAGTAGTTTCTTCTTATCTCCAGGATCAAATATGAAATCTTCTGTCTGGCTTTTAAAGCCAGGAGTATGCTGGAGCAAGCTCATACCAGCTCATGAGAACCTATTGTTAAAATTTCAAAGCATTTGTACCTCCCACATTCCCAGAATACTGGCCTTCCACCTTTCTGCCTCCTACGTTTTCTGGTTTCCTTCATATCTCAGCTCAAATCCTTCCTTCTAAAAGAGGCCTTTCCTGCTCCCTCTCAGTGCTTGTGGCTTCCCTCTGAGATTACCCCCAGTTTACCTTGCATATATCTTGTGTGTACTTAGTGGTTTTGTATACCCCATTAGATGGTGTCCTCTTTGAGGATAAGGACTGGTTTTTTTTGTATCCCCAGCGTTGAGCACCGTGTCTAACTCTTGGTAAGTATTTAATAAATACTTGATGACTTGACGTAAGGTTTTTTTTTCCCCGCTCTTTTCTTCTTCCAGTGCTTTCCCCTCCCCTGCCACCATTTTACAGTCTGTTTCTCCTGGTGTTCTGTTCTTTTCTGTATTTTAAGACAGAAGATTCCATGCGGCACACTCCATACCCTGTTTACTTTGGGCCACACAGAAAAAGCAAAGCTAGAAAGAAACAGAAATATGTTTGGGTTTTTTTTTGTTAATCACCCTACCAGTCCTCCGTATTCAAGCTACACATTCCATTGCCTTCTGAGCATTTCCTTGACATGTCCACCATAACTGGAATGTCTTTCCTTCTCATATCAGCCTCTTCCTTTCAGGTTCAGCTTGACCTTGGGTTCCCCATGAAGTCATCCATGATCTAATTAATGATGATTTTTCTCTCCCCCGATTATCTTGTACATATCCATGTATATATTGTATTCTACCCCCAACCCCACCCCAGTACAGTGTAAGCTCCTTGAAGGTAGAAATTGCTTCTCTTTTTTGTCTTCATATTCCTGATACCTAGCACAATATCTTAATATTTGTTGAATTAAAATGATTCGCAGTTGCTAGGGCACATTGACTACTATAACAAGGAAATTGCTTCTGTGAATATCTCCTCTGTAGACTGGCTCCTTTTGGACAGGCAACCTTCCTTGATGGGAGGGTCTTCACTATTTCCCAGCCGTGTAAAAATCCTACACTCTCATGTTCTTTGAGTGATGATTGTATTTAAATCACTTTTTAATTATTTTCTGTCTGCCTTTTTGTGGATTCACAGCCCCATCAGTTACTTTGCTTATATTTAATAGTAACTCAGGTCTAAAACACTTCGAACCTATTTATAGCCCTCTGATTGGTAGCTCTCTAAATTTCCATTGTTTGTACTCTTGAAGGCTCCTCTTCCTTAATCCTTTGCGACATCTAGCAATATCACCTACTTCTTACACTTAAGGCAGAGGTTTTAAATCAGGAAAGTTGTTTCTCTGCAGTAGTGGGCAAGTTTAATAATGATGAAGATGATGATGGCAATACTAGCTATTATTCATATGGCATTGTTAAAGTTTATAAAATACTTTAAATATGTTATCTCGTTTGATCCTCAAATATCCCTGTGAGTTAAGGGTCCTTATGTCCATTTTATAGGTTAGGGAACTGCGGCTAAGAGAATTCAACTTGTCTGGCCAGTAAGTGTCTGAGACAGGATTTGAACTCAGGCTTTCCTCACTCCCTGGACTTAGAGTTCCATTATCTGTTAAAAAAAAAAAGGCAGTTCCTTGTCTATGATTTTTCTGCAAGTTTCCTCTGTTCTCCTCTGCTTTTTCTCAGTATACCTATTCTTCATCCATTTCCTCCCACTCTACCCACATTAGAATCTCTGAACCAACACCCTCAGCATTCTTATGTTCCTCAAAGTCTCACTTCTTCTTGCCCCCATGATATCCAGCAGCAACCAACTTCTAACGGAGACAAAGGCATGAAACTAGAGAAGGAACTCCTCTGTGTGGATACCTGACAAAACAAAAGGCATGCATTTCACATAGTTCACTAGTAAAATATTTGGCTGAGAACTAGCTTGATATATCATTTTCCAGACCTTGCCTGTGGGAAAAGTTGGGTTTTCACTGTCAATCAAGGAAACAACCCATAATGTGTGCCCCTCTTCAGAGATTTAGTTTAAGAGGGAAATGGAATGTAAATTTGACCTCTTAATTGCCGCTCAAAAATAATAAAGTAGTCAAAAGACAAATTGGTGGAGTAATAGGAGGCGGGTTGGGGAGGGGGTCTTAAAGGGTATTTTTCCCTCCCTTATTTCCTTCACTTTCTTAATACTCAGCAAGGTTATTCATTTATGAAAGAGCTCTGTTTAAAGATATGGGGATCTTTTCCTTTTAGAAGATACTTTGTGTTAAGAGTCAAACAAACAAAACAAATTGATGAAATTACAATATGAGATCTTCAGTGTATGAGAGCAATTACATTTTAAATCATTATATATCCAAGTAGTCATTACAGAAATAACCTTCTTTGTCAAGCCTAACCAAAAAAAAATCATAGAGCCATCTGAAAGTTAAATAAGAAAGTGCTATTCTCTAGAAGAATCTAATCAGCATCCACAACCTATTAATTGTTCAAGAACTCTAACTAAAAATCTTTAATGAGGTTCTTAACAGTAGAATTTCAGTCATATGCAAATGAATCATTGAAACCCCTCATTATAACAAAAACAATGGTTCTTTGGTGAGTTTTTGCTTTCACTGTAGTAATTACAATGTCTCCACTGTAAATTTTAACGTTTTCTTCATACATTTTATTTTTGTTCTTCAGAATCCTTTCTAAAGAAATCTGATTGCCATCCAGTATTTAAGAATGACTGTTCCCACTTGGTTTCCCTTCTCTGAAACTGACATTGTCTCCCATCCTCAGTAGAATTTTCATCTAATGCCCCTAAGTCTTTAAAATTCAAATATTCTCATTTCTACACAGGTCTGATTACAACTACTTCAAGGAAATTGGATCGAGAACAGCAGGCAGAACATTTTCTGGAGGTAAGCTCCAAGAAGGATCCTACATTCATTAAAATGGACTTTTGTTGAAACCTTAGCCTTCATCACAACCTAGAATCTTAATAGAATTGAACTGTGAGCCTCAGACACCAGTGATATGTCCCCTGAGCTCCCAGTTTCTGAACTTTGGAGATCTGAACCTGCTAACTATTGTTTTGCCTCTCTAAAAAGTTTCCAATGTGAACAACAAGGGAATTAAAAATACCCTACTTCTTTTTAATAATGATAATCCCATTTATCAACAACTTGGCCTGTGTTTTAGGCTAAGCCTGAAAACAGTGCTCAGAAGCATGCTAACATAACACATGTTGCCCATTTCTATAAGAAACGAAAAAGATAAAAGTTTTATGAATGAAGCTAATTTTTATATATTGTTTATAAGCAGCTATTTGTGTAAAATTGCATTGTTCTGGTCTATCATTCCTTTTCCTATAGGGATAGAGAGAGGATTACTGCTAATAATGGTAATAGTTGCTAGCATTCATATGGCACTGTAAGGTTTGCAAAGCATTATACCTCATTTGGTCCTCACAATAAATGTATGAGCTAGGTGCTATTATTCCCATTTTACAGATGGAGGAAACTGAGACTGATGGCATTTAAATGACTTGCCCAGGGTCATACAGCTAATAAATATCTGATGATGGATTTGAACTCCGGTCTTTCTGATTCCAGGTCCATCACTCTAACCACTGTACCATCTAGCTGCCTAAGTGATTCATGCTTTTGAGGAATGTTGCCGGAAACATAAAGTATATATACTATATAATTTATTAAAACTTGCACAGTAAGAATGTAAAAGCATTACTTCTGTTGAAGAAATATAATAACATTGGGCTTTACAAAGTGTGTTCACATCTATTTTCTCAGTTGCATGTAAGTGCTTTATAAGTATGAAGTACTGTTATTATTTTGCCTTGGTGGCTTAAAGTTTTGTTGATATACATGGAAAACACTATGATTTTAGTCCACTCAAGATGTAATGGGCCCAAAGTATATAAAACTATATGTAAAATATACAAATTATATATTATATAAATATTTATGTATAAATATGTTACATAAAGGATAAGGCTTAGAATGCAAGCATATGTCAAGGCTCCATAATGTTTCCATCCATCAATGTTAATGTCTCTAAAATTTTACATTTGATTCTGGGAGCCAAACTCTTTCCAGGGAGCTGTGTTTGTCAACTAAATTCTTAAAGATCATTTTTAACTGGCAAGCACAAATGTTTTTCCAATTTGTCAATGTCATTCCTAAAATGTGGTACCCTGTACTGAACACCATACTCCAGATGTCATACTTGAGGAGAAGTTGTCCAACAACATTCTTTAAAAGTCAGAGTATTTTGTGACGCCTCCTATGCCTCAACACCATGACAAGTGGCCACTTCTCAACAGGCATTTATTAAATACCTACTGTGTGCCATGTACTGTGGGAAGCACTGGGGATACAAAAAACCTTCCTCCTGGGCCTCCCCTGCCACCCATGATTACTGCTCTGGAGGAGCCCACATCTAATGGGGAAGACAACATGCCACCAACTGTGCCCAAACAAGATATATGCAGGATAAAGCAAGATAGTCAAGAGAAAGAAAGGACTTATATTAGAGGAGATTGCAGAAGGTGAGACTTTAGACAAGACTTGAAGGAAGCCAAAGAGGCCAAGAGGGAGAGATGAGGAAAGAGAAGAACCATTGCTCCCAAATCTTAGATGTTTACAATATAATCTTTAAATGTAAACAATAGATGTTTAGACATCTTTTGAAGTATATACTAATTAGGTAATGAGCTTAACTTTTCCAGAATAATCCCTTTTTCTTGCCAAAATAACATTTTATACTGTACTTTTATACCATTGTAATTTATAAGACCAATGTCAGATTCCCCTAGAGAGGACATTTATTTGAACAATTGGACAGCCAGCCCTCAACTAGAAAGTAGACTATCCATTTGTTAGAGGGTATGGGCCGAAGTACTTAACAGTGAATGTCTGTGGAGGAATTGTGGTATAAAACACGACTCCAGTAAGCTGGCTCTTTGGTAAGGAAGTGCTTCAGGTGTTCATTCAGGTTATCACAGAATTACCAAATTGAGTCACACTGTTCAAAATGACCTCAGAGGTTATCTAGAGCCACCTGTACTTGGAAAATGATCTCCTTTAGAATATCTGACCAATGGCCACCTAGCCTCTAATTGAGAATGTCTAATTTGCTTCTCTGGTCATCATGTCACACGGATGCTTCTTACTGAACTTTATGTCCACTTAAATCTGCCATCATTGTTCTGTCTGTCCTTGTCTCTCTCCCAATGTTCCTCCATTCTGATCATACTCTGATCCACCAGAAGGACTCTCTGTCATTCATCCTGGCATAGAAATGATTTCATTTTTGGAAGCTACTTGAGAAAGTTATGTTAGGCTATTCATCCCTTAAGTGGACATTCACAGATTAATCTAGGAACCTAATTAACTACCATTTTAAATACAATTTTATTTTTATAAGATCATCCTGAGTTCTGAACAAGTGAATGTGAAAATTGGGATTATTACAGCAATCAGGTTGCCTCAACATGTTCTAAACATCACCATGAGGTTGCTATCCAGAATCTCAGAATAGACTCACAGTTTAAGGTCCTCTAATCGAAGAATGGTCACATAAGAATGAGAGTCAGAAAGTGGAACCAAGCTCAGGCTTAGTAATTCTGAAAGAGAGACAGGATAAAAGTATCACAAGTAAAATTCAAGGCAGGATCCAAATTCTAGGATATCATTCCAAGAAGGGACAGAGAATTAGCAGATCCATATGGGCATGAGTTGCTATCAAGAGACTAGGCTGCAAGGATGGGAAATCAGCCCCTTAAAAACTGAGTAACCAAGAACAGAGCATGAATAGTAAGCAAGAATGATGAGATGATGAAGTGGGTTGCTGTTGAAATAGGGGATCTTACATTCCCCCTTTTCTAGGACTAGATTAGAACCAAGGTTATTGGGTAAACTATGGATCCATTCTCTGAATAATGCTTTTAAATGCATGAAACAAGATACTTGAGATTGTTTGCAAAAGAAACCAATTATTTTTTTAAAAAGTTAAGTTCACAGACCCCAAGTTAAGAAGTCCTCTGTAGAGCTTGATGTGGGATAGAGCTTACAGCTAGAGCTTGAGTATATTTTCCAAGGCTCAAAAGGTGTGGAGGTAGACATACTGAAGAGTGATCAATCAACTTATTGTTGGACTTTTGGAATGTAGCTTTCTTTTAAAATGTACAGAAGAAGATTTATCTAATAAAAGCAGTGAAAAAGAGGCAGTATGATGTTAATTGAAGCTGGAATATTTAATTTAGAATCTATGGACAGGATAACTTTTTCAGTTGCTTTCGAATCAGGGGAAAGACTCAATATCCTACTTTCTTGTCTTTTAAATATTAATCCTACAAGCCATGAAGGAAGACCCAGGAGATCCCCAGGCAAAGTAGAATCTTTCAGAAAAAATGAACAGCCCCGCTGGACCTGGATGTGAAAGAGGGAAGAGACAACACCAGGAATAATGACAATAATTTATATCCTGCTTCACAGTTTAAAAAGTGTTTTCCTTGGGGCAGCTAGGTGGCGCAGTGGATAGAGCACCGGCCCTGAAGTCAAGAGGACCTGAGTTCAAATCCAGCCTCAGACCAAACACTTGACACTTACTAGTTGTGTGACCCTGGCCAAGTCACTTAACCCCAATTGCTTAAAAAATAAGCAAATAAATGAATGAATGGATGGATGAATAAAAGTGTTTTCCTTGAAACAACCTTATGAGGTAGAGAATGCCTGTTATTTTAATATGACGCATGAGGAAACTGAGGCTTGAAAAAGATTAAATGAATTATTGAAAGTCTTATAGCTTGTGTGAGTAAGGGAGATGGAACTCTAATCTAGGTCTGCCAACCTCAGTCTCTTTATACTAGGCCAGTGCCACTTTTAGCTAATTTAATGCATAGCAAACTATATATGGATTTATTTCTTTAGATTTATAAAAGTGAGGAACTGTTTTGTTTTTGTTGAATCTTGAAGCCACTCAAGCATTAGTCATATTTTTTTACTTGGGCTTATTATAATGTACATAAAGGATGGTTTATTTAATTTGTACTTATCCTAGAGATCCTAATTTTAATATCATTGTTGCCAGCCTAGGAATAGTTGGTTATGATAATGGTAATGAACACATTATTCTTTGGGTGTCTAAGTCTTTTCATATATCTACTAGTTGAAAAATTTAGTTTATAGTTTTGGAGAATGATTTCCTGACTTAGCTACTTTGGTGATGGCTTCCATCTTTAAACAGTGGAGTTAAAATTCTCTGAGGGATGGTGATATTTGTTTTAAGAATTGAAGTGAACAATACTGATGAAGTAGTAGAAACAATATGCAGCAGCATAAAGGGGAGACTGTTATACTTAATTGCTGCAAAATAGTAGATCAAGAGATGGAAGTATTATCAGTATTTTGAGTCAGAATTCTTAGACCCTTGTCACATGCCTTGTTCAGCCATTGGGTGAGTGATTCTAGAAATGCATACTTCAACCTTATCATCAGTGTGTACATCTTGGTGTTAATTGTTAGGAGGCTAAAATTAGCACAAGCAGCAAAGAATTGAACCATTCTCAGTTGCATTGAACACCCAGTCGTCTGTGAACAAAAAGCCATGCACCAACTCTCCCTCCACTTTAGTCACTGCTGTCCCTTTCAAGTTAAATAATTTACCCTCAGTGCAGTAGTTGACCTTGATGCCTTATTGATGCCTTGTTTGTACTTGTTGAAGGCATCTGAAAACATTGCTGAAAACAGCCTGCTAAAAAGCATGGGAGCAAGAGAACAAACCTGCTTCACTCCATTGATGACTAGGAAAGTGCAAGAGCATCGTCCATTATCCAGAACTTGGACAAGCATGCCACCGTGAAATTGACATACAATGTTGATGAACTTCTCCAGGCAACCAG